TAGAAGAATTGATGCCTTTGAATTATGGTGTTGGAGGAGAATACTAAATGTGCCATGGGCTGCCTAAAGAACCAATAGATCTGTTTTGGAAGAAGTGCAGCCAGAGTGCTCCTTTGAAGCCAAGATGGCTAAATGTCGTTTCTCATACTTTGGACATATTGTCAGGAGGGAACAGTCGCTGGAAAAGGATATCATGTTTAGCAAGAAGGAGGATCAGAGAAAAAGAGGAAGACCCCCAACAAGATGGATCAGCTAGGTGGCATCATTGATGGACTCAAGTGTGGCAGTGGTAGTGAGTTTGGCCCAGGATCGGACATTGTTCCGTTCTGCTGTGCATGGGGTCGCTATGAGTCTGTTTTGACTCAATGGCACCTGACAACAACAACAAAAAACCTCCAGAGGCTTCCTGTTGCACTCAGGCTAAATGAAATATCCTCATCATTCCCGATCCTGTCTCTCTCTACTGGCCATCCAAGCTCATGAAGCACCCATCTCCCCCTTGCTCTCTATGTCTGTAATGGTTTCCCCATCACCATCCTATATGGATTCCTTTATTCATTCTCCTTTGGTCCCTCTTAGGAGCTCTGGTAGTATAGTGGCTATGAGTTGGGCTGCGTACCTCAAGGTTAGCAGTTTGAATCTACCAGCAGTTCTGCGGGAGAAAGGTGAGGCTTTCTGCTCCTTTAAGATTTACAGCTTTGGAAACCCTATACAGGGTTGCTATGAGTCAGAACTGACTCCATGTCACATAACCACCACCACCACCAAGAAAAAATAGAAACATTCATGCAGAGTGTGTTCAAATTTTAAAGTAAAGCTTGCCTTAAAATTGAAAGTCAATTTGAAGGGTATGTGTAATACAACATCACTGAAGTTTTTTTGCCTTTTCAGTATTTGCACTTCTATTCTTAAGGAATCAGCACAATAACAATTTAGAATTTTGCTATCAGCCTTCACTTACCTGTAGATGGGCATATACAAAGGCAAATAATGGGAATACTGTTTGCAAGCCTGGTTTAGAAAATTTAATTTTTCAGTGAGCTATGTCTTTTTAATCTTAACACATCTCTATTTCATCTGAGTTTCTGAATCACAGTGAGAACATCAGTGGAGATCCATTATAAATACCAATGAAGTAAAATTGTCATAACATGTTCTAAAAGAATTTATCTTGACTATTGACTCATCTAACAGTTCTCAATGAAATGTAATACCACTCTTGTGCTGGGGCAAATCTCCCAGCGTTATGAGAAGAAAGGGAAATGTCTGAGTCTGTCCCATGCATAATGGATCTAGATCATTTTACCTGTATGTGGGGCCTATAGGGGCACTGTAGGATAAGGACTAGACTGCTAACTGCAAGGTCAGCAGATCAAAACAACAAGCCACTCCTCGAAAACCCTATAACAGGGTTGCTACGAGTTGGAACCGACTCAGTGACAACAGAACGTAGAATAAATCAAAATCTTATAGACCTGTATCTTGTAATTCGCACAGATTAGAAAGTCTGTAATGTCCTCTTCTATATTTTGATATTCAGTAAATTATTTACCCTTTGTTGATTTCTCAAGACCTGATATTAGTAGTTATTTCAGGAAGCATTCTTTGATTGCCTTTAACTTTTTTCCTTTATTCTATTATGTTTGTCTTTTACTTCCATTGCAACCTTTTTTCCCTCTACCTCCAACTTCTCCAGCTTTACCTCTGGTTTTCACTTGTATTTGGAAAACCCTTTTTAGTTTTTCTTTTGGTTTGCTAGTCTAAGGTGGAGACTTCATGGGAACTTAGAGTTCTCACTTGACTTTTTTCATACAAAACTCCGGCTTGCTCTTAAGAACTAACCTTTATAATATCATGAGCTCTGAGTCTTTGGAACTCAAAGAGTCTTACATTTTGTATTTCCTAGAGCCTTGGTGATTCAGGTAATGATGATGTTGATTTTTTTTTTTTCATTTTAACAAAGGGATTGTGTTTTCCCCAGTTTATATATAGCAGAGGAGCCCTATCTAATTGGTGTTAAGCAATCTAGATAAAAAAATATATATATATTTCTGAGACTTCAAATTTTTAAAAGATATACCCACAGCTAATATCACCAACCATTTTCTAATTAATGAGTTTTTCTGGCACATAGAATTTATATGCAGACATGCAGATGGCTATAATTTTATGATTTACCATAGTCTTAAGATTTGTTTTTTATTCTGAGCATTTAAAAATCATTTTATATTTCCTTAAATATCAGATCAAGAGACTAAAATCTCATCCCTCTATCATCACATGGAGTGGCAATAATGAAAATGAAGCAGCACTGATGATGAATTGGTATAATATTAATTTCATTGACTACCCAATGTACATCAACGATTATGTGATGTTGTACGTGAAAAACATAAGAAAGCTCGTCCTTGAAGTAAGTAATGATTTCTATGCAGTAGCATTTAGTAATATTTTAAAAATAGGTCAGTTTAAATATTGGTATAGTATATTTTTATATCCTTTTTGGAACCAGTCTTCAGTAACGTCATTTGGGTACATAATGTTGTTGTTAAGTGTTGTTGAGTCAGTTCCCCTGTATAGGGTTTCTGAGGCTGTAATTCTTTGTAGTAGCAGAAAGCCTCATCTTTCTCCCACAGAGAGGCTGGTTAGCTGGAACTGCTGATATTGTGGTTCGCAGTCCAGTGCTTATCCTATACCACACAAAATATTCCATTGTAAAAAGGAGCCCTGATGGTGCATTGGGTTAAGTATTGGGCTGCCAACTGAAAGATCAGTAGTTTTAACCCACTAGTTGCTCCAATGCAGAAAGATGAGGCTGTCTGCTTCTGTAAAGATTTACTGCCTAAGGAGTAGTTCTACTCTGCCCTATAGGGGTTGGATGAGCTGGAGTTGACTTGGTAGCAGTGTTGTTGTTGTCATTCTATTGAAAGTTTGCAGCATATGGAAAGAGTCCTGCATGGTCTGTGCACGTCTTTGAGAATTAACTCATCTATGGAACTATCCACACATACACCAAAATTATGCTTATGAGTGTAGATTGTCACAGACTACTTAGAGCTCATCGTAGAGTTCCAATGGTTTATAATCCTAAGATTATATGATTTATCGGTATGTTCATTTTAAATTCTATGATTGTGACTGTAATTGTTACAGTTAGGTGCCATTGAGTCAGTTCCGACTGATAGCCACCCTGTGCACAACAGAATGCAACATGGTGTGTTGAGAGACGACTATACACATGGACCTTGTCAGTTGGAATACATAGAAATCAAATTGACTACATTTGCTGAAAGAGATGATGGAAAAGCACCATATCATCAGTCAAAACAAGGCCAGGTGCAGATTGTAGAACACACCCTCAATTGCTCATATGCAAATCCAAACTGAAGTTGAAGAAAATGAAAACAAGTCCACAAGAGCCAAAACATGACCTTGAATATATCCCACCTGCATCTAGAAATCATCTGAAGAACAGATTTGATATGTTAATCACTAAAGACCGAAGACCAGAAGAGTTGTGGGATGACATCAAGAACATCATACATGAAGAAAGCAAAAAATCATTAAGAAGACAAGAAAAAGGTCAAAATGGATGTCAGACGAGACACTGAAACTTGCTGTCCATCATAGAGATGCTAAAGCAAATGGAAGAAATGAGGAGGTACAAGAGCTGAAAAGAAAATTTCAAAGATCAGCTTGAGAAGATAAAACCAAATATTACAACAAAATGTGCAAAGATCTGGAGTCAGAAAATCAAAAAGGAAGAACATGTTCAGCATTTCTCAAGCTGGGGACTGAAGAAAAAATTCAATACTCGGTTTTGGTTATTGAAGGATTCTCTGGGCAAGTTACTGAATGATGCAGAAAGTATCAAAAGAAGATGGAGGGAATATACACAATCACTGTACCAGAAGGAAATGGTTGATGTTCAACTGTTTTAAGAGGTACCATATGATCAAGAGCCAATGATAGTGAAGGAAGAATCCCAAGGTGCATTGAAGGAATTGGGAAAGAACAAGGCACCAGGAATTAATGGAATACAAATTGAAATCTTTCAAGAAAGCAAGGTGGCACAGAAGACACTCATTCATCTATTCCAAGAAATTTGGAAGACAACTATCTGGCTGACTGATTGGCAGAGATCCGTATTTATGCACATTCTAAAGAGAGGTGGCCCAACGGAATGTGGAAATCTTCAGACAATATCTTTGATATCCCATGCGAGTAAAGTTTTACTAAAAGTAATACAGAATTGACTACAAGCATACATTGACAGAGAACTTCCAGAGGTTCAAGCTGAATTCAGAAGAGGACGTGGAATGAGGGATATCATTGCTGATGTCCGATGGATCTTGGCTGAAAGCAGAGAATATCAGAAAGATGTTTACCTATGCTTTATTGACTACGCAAAGACTTTTGATTGTGTGGATCATGACAAGCTATGGACAACATTGTGAAGTATGAGTATTCCGGAACACTTAATTGTGCTCATGAGGAATCTGTACCTGGACCAAGAGGCAGTTGTTCGAACAGAACATGGGACCGCTGTATGGTTTAAAATGAAAAAAAGGTGTGTGACAAGGCTGTGTTCTTTTACCACACGTGTTCAACCTGTATGCTTAGCAAAAAATCCGAGAAGCTGGGTTCTATGAAGAAAAGCGTGGCATGAGTATTGGAGGAAGACTCATTAACAACCTGCGATATGCAGATGATACAACCTTGCTTGCTGAAAGTGAAGATTTAAAATATGTACTGATGAAGTTCAAAGAGCACAGCCTTCGGTATGGATTGCATCTCAGTGTAAAGAAAACAAAAATTCTCATCACTGGACCAATAAACAACAATGGAGAAAAGATTGAAGTTGTCAAGGACTTCAGTCTTCTTGGATCAACTGTCAACATTCATGTAAGCAGCAGTCATGAAATCAAACGACGCATTGCATTAGAGAAATATGCTGCACAAGACCTTTTTAAAGTGTTGAAGAGCAAAGATGTCAGCTTGAGGACTAAGGTGCTCCTGACCCAAGCCATATGCATGCCAAAGCTGAACAGTGAATAAGGAAGACTATAGAAGAATTGATGCTTTTGAGTTATGGTTTGGGAAGAGAATATTGAAAGTGCCATGAGATGTCAAAAGAACCAACAGATCTGTGTTGGAAGAAGTACAGCCAGAGTGCTCCTTGGAGACCAGGATGGCCAAATTTCGTCTCTCATACTTTGGGCATATTGTCAGGAGGGACCAGTCTCTGAAGAAGGATATCACGTTTGGTAAGGTGGAGGGTCAGAGAAAAAGAGGAAGACCCTCAGCGAGATGGATTGGCCAAGTGGCAGTGTGGAAACGATTGTGAGGTTGGCCCAGGATCTGTCAGTGTTTCGTTCAGCTGTGCATAGGGTTGCTGTGAGTCAGTACCAACCTGATGACACCTAACAGCAACAACTATGTATTAACATACATAATAGAACTAACTATATGTATGTTTATAAAAATTGGCAGTTTTGCAGGGAGAGAAAGCAGCTTTTCATAATAATAACATCTTCAAAAAAAAATAACGTCTTCAAATCATTTCATTAAAAAAACACTTTAATGTTTAATATGTGACTCAATTTCCTGGTTGTCTTTCAATTTTGTATTATTAATTAGATTTTTCAAACATTTGGTTATCCAGAAACAATTGGAAATGGTATTAGTACCTAACTATGCCAGTCGACAACACAAAATAATTTCTTTGAAAAAATTTCAGAAAACCCATGAAAAACATTAATTTAGATTTATACTTTGCCTGAAGTCATGTGTCATGAAGAATTTTTATTTTCACAAAAGTGAGATGCTATAAGGATGAATTAATACTTATATAACACTTCTTTTGTAGTCTTTTGCTCATAGTGTTGGTGAATGTTATGTTTTTATTTTTTAAATGTTTTATTGTGAATTATGTAATAGTTTACATGGGATAACATTAGCTTTACATTCATCATATGGTATATAGTTTCATTGCCATGTTTACAATCCCCTCCATGCATCATTAACCAACCAAAGAGTTTACACTGCAAGCCTGCCACCTGGTCATCAGCACACAGCCCCTCTCCCTTTCTGGGTCTAGAGTTCCCCGTGGCTCTATCTCTCATGTCATCGCCTCTGTCTCCATCTCTGACATCACTGTTTCTCTGGGTAGGTTCCAGCACTCTGCTTTTCTCCCTTGATAGTCCCAGGGACCTCCGCTCCTGGACTGCAAAGTCAACTACTCCCCTCCTTTTGCTACAAAACATGTATCTTTACATTTCCAACCCTCACAGTCAGTCCTGATAACAATTATTCACTATTGTGCCACATGAGTGCTATCCCCATTGCCTTTCATCTGCCCTGCCCAGACAGATTGTATATTACTCAGTGGAGATTCCACAAGTATTATGTTTTTAATATCTGATGGATTTAAAATATAGATTTAAATAGCCCAGGTTTTTCATTTTAGAGCATAGTCATTAAAATCACTTGATTCCAAATCTTGGTCAGGCCACTTGCTATCTGTGTAATTGTGGGTAGGTTGCTTAATCTCCAGTTCCCCATTTCTAAAACCTGGTTTTAGGGCCTAGCTTTTGGAGTTGTTTTGTGATTTGAGTGAGATAATGGATACTGACTCTGGCACATAGTAAACTTCAGTTAATGTTAGTCATCCTCATTATTGTGGATTTTATAAAATAAAATACTTAAAATTTTTAATCTCTCATTTTTGTACTATATTCTTAAACTTCTAATTTTAGCACTATATTCTTGTGCCATCTCTTCCTTATTTCTGAAATGTAAATAGGATTACAAATTTCTTTGTAGATGAGCAAATTAAGTGTTATATAACATTGCTATTGTAATTTCTTTCAAAATATAAGCCATTTAAGGGAAAGCACCATAAATTGACCCCTCCACTTATTGATCTGGAGTCCTGGTATGGCACTGTGTCAGACTAAAAATCTGTTTGAACTGCAAGGTTGGCAGTTCAAGCTCACCAGCTGCTCCTTGGAAACCCTATACAGGCTCGCTATGGGTCAGAATCGACTTGATGGCACTTAACAACAACAACAACAACAACAACAAATTAATTAGGTTCCTATTGCCCTTCGTGCTTTCTTTATATGACCATTCTGTTTGTCCATCTTATTTTTTTCATCTTTATTCATCTCTGGGTCCAAATAAGTATTTTAGGTTATGATCTAGAAAGACACCTATGAGATTTGTGATTAAAACTAGGCCTCAAGAGGAAATGAGTTATAAGTGGAAGGAAACATTAGTGTATTATTAAGGACAAATACTTTTTAAATTTTTAAATTACTTAAATCTCACTATACTTTATAATGTTTGTAAACGAACCACCATCTAATAAGCAAAGCTTATTCCAGATGCTATTGGGAAATATTTAACCTC